CGGCAGCAGGAGGCGCGCTGCGCGAAAGCTGAATCAACACAAAACAAAGTTTGAAGAGAGGACGGGGCATTGTATGGTTGCCACGTCAGCAGAAGATAACATTTGGCGCGTTATCGAACGCGGCAGCCTCACCGTCGTAGAGAGAACGCTGGAGGAAACAAAGGAGGAGTTGGTCAAAAGTAAGAAAATTGTGGAAGAGAGCCAGGCTCAACCTCGCTGCCGCCGCCGCCGCCGCCGCCGCCGCTGCTGCTGCTGCTGTTTTTCTCAGCAGCAGCAGCGGCGGCGGCAGGTGTCTGCGTGGCTTCACCGCCCGGCTGCTGCTCGGGTGTGTCATGAGGCATGTGTTCTAGAGTGGGACCGCGCAATGGTGTTGTGCTGTGCCCCATAGCAGGCCGCAAAGCACACAGGCGAGCTGCGCCCTCGCGCGTGTGCGTCAGAGGGTGTTTTCGGAAGGTTCCGACGGTTCCGTGCAATTTCATCGGTTGGTCGATTTTCCATCAGCAAGATCCGAGGACGCTTTTTCGAATTTTTTCCTATAGGAAATTTTCCGCTCTGACACCCCTACCAGTATGGGCAGCCGTACTAAAACTATTTTTAGTACAGTATGGGAAGCCCTACTAAACACAATAGTACCGTTAGTACAGTATATTAACCCGTACTAAAAGCAACAGTATGTTTAGTACAGTATGGAGAGCCGTACTAAAACTATTTTTAGTACAGTATGGGAAGCCCTACTAAACTCAACAGTACGCTTAGTACAGTATGGAGAGCCGTACTAAACGCAACAGTACGTTTAGTACAGTATCGAGAATCGGTACTGAGGTTTGTATCAGTACAGTATGAAAAGCCGTACTAAAAGCAACAGTATGTTTAGTACAGTATGGAGAGCGGTACTAAAATTGTTTTTAGTACAGTATGGGAAGCCCTTCTAAGAGCAATAGTACGATTAGTACAGCAGTGGAGAGTTGTACTAAAGTGTTAGTATCCCAGTACTGGGCGGTGGGGCGAAATACTTACTAAAATACTTGAAAGTACCAATAGTATGTACTGTACTAAACCGACCCTTGAAAAATTCCATTACAGTACTGGGCCCGCTACAGTGCCGGTATGTGCCCAGAGATAATATCGGCACTATTGAGGGCACCGGCACTAATCAGAATAGTGCCTCAATAGTCCCGGTCCGGCACTATTGAGGAGATGTTTGATTTCATGCTGTGGCGCTCCTGCGTTGCGGGGCTAGCAGAGTACGAAATGGATCAGACTTAGTGAAGGTCTATCGTGGGCGTAGGCATCCTTCCTCGCGACAAGCATGGTTCCCCCCTGTCGCACACACAGATGGCGAGTTGTAATTTACTTGCATGTTGCACCGTTATTTTCTGCCTGCCTCAGCACATGAACTGTACTGCACACCCTGAACTGTCGAAACTGCTGTTGACGGCAAGAGGCTTGTAAGCTCCCGTTCGTACACGTAGCTATATCTCAGCCCTAGAGCCCCTCCTTCGATGTTGCAAGATACAAAAGATAAAACAGAAATAGAAACACGACAGGAAGCGCACTTCAAGAAAACAACAATCAATACTACTGCACTACAGCTGTATCTCCCCCCCAAACTACGTCGTGACACTGGAGTGTCTGCCTGGCGTACCCGCTTCGATGTTGCAAGAAAAAAAAATAAAAACTACAAGTACACGTCAGGAAGCCAACCGCAAGAAAAAGAAACAACCATGAACTCTACGTCGCGAAAAATCCTCTAATGTCTGTCTGGCGCACCCGCCTAGCGGAATGCGCTGCGATCATCGACATCTTCGCTTTCGTTAGGTAGAACGCCGCGTCTCCGTTGCCACTGTCCTCTGCTGCCACTTCCAGGGCGCCGAAGTGAGACGACAGTTCTTCATAACCCGGTGGCGCCCGCCCCAGCACCCTTAGCTGGTGTCGCTTTGCGCTTGCTAGTCCTGGCGACACACGTGCTGCAGATGCGGTGCTGCTCGTTGTCCTCAAACACGCTGCCGCAATTGCCGTGGAGCCGCCCGCCACATCCTCCCTTGCAGGGGTGGCCATGAGGGGGTTGCGGCGTCCTGTCTTGTTGAAGGCACAGTTCACCTTCCGCACAAGGCATGGTGCGCCTCTGCGTAGAACTCTTCGGGTCTGCAGCAGCACGTGTACCCTCTGTGTTCCGTGTGTCCGCTGTCTTGTGTGTGTGTTTTTTTTATTATTAGCATCGACCGCGCTAACCGGCTGACCAGTTAACAGACGTCAGTGCCAGCGGGTAAAAATCAAGGTCCCTGGAAGGGGGCCGAAATTTGAAAAAGGCGCAATGCGCTTGATGCGAATGCCAATACGACTCTCTCTACACGTTCTTTCACGAAGACACACATCTCAGCTACACAAATGCCCTCGCTCGAATCTAGGAAGCCACTGATGCAAAGAGCGGAGGACAGCAAAAGGGTTATTTCAAGCCCAGCCGAAGCCAGGATATCGTGGTATGCTGCATCTCCCAATTTGATAATCGTACACTCCCAAGATCCAACAGTCATCGTGTCAGCAGCTAGATGACTCAAACAAAATAGCAACACATACACGGCCATAGCTCCACACATGCCCTCGTCCGAACCTAGCAAGCCACTTGGAAGTCACGAGGGAGCCAAGTCCTGCTCGCAGGTTCTCTTGGCTTTCCTTCAGGTGAACACGTCCAGGAATCCAGTATCCGCAGCCGCCGCAGTAGTACTGTACTGCTGTGTAGCAGTAGCAGGAAATCCAGGTTGTACCCATCCGTTGTCCAAACAAAGATTTGTGATTCCGTGAGAGAAGGAGATACCACCGCCGTCGAAGGGTCGAAGGCACTGTCTGCCAGATGTAGGCTGTGAGATAGATGGAGCCACCTATGTGTTCTTAGCCTGCCCGCCCGTGAGGGTCTGTGTGTGTCAGCTGGCGTGAGTGTGTGAACCGGCACTATTGCGGGGCGCCGGGGTGCCCAATCGGCACTATAGAGGGGCCGCCCTCAATAGTGCCGAACCGGCATTATTGAGGGCACTTTCTGTGTCTAGAGATTTGACCGGCACTATACCGGGCATCGGCACTACAATTCAATCGGCATTATAGCGGGCCCAGTACTGTATCATGCATTGGGGGCAGGGTGTCGGTTAGTAGTCTACGCAGCAAATCGATTAAGCAAACATATAGGGTAAAGTGTTCAATCCGTGCTTTGAGGTTCGGGTTCGGGTTAGGGATAGGGTTTGCGTACCCCCTCTCTATTCTTTTGCTAGATAGTCTTAAAATTCCGCGTAGGCGGTCCTTTTCGGTAGAGCGCGTTGCTATTTACTACTGCACCACCCTGGTACTGCTGTAGCATCGACCGCGGTTGGTAAGGTTATGCAGCAACGGAGGCTTCAAGTCTCGTCGTGGTATTGGCCCCAGTATGGGACCGCTTCAATGTGGTCCGGTCGCCCTGTGTAAGACCGGCAAACGAAGCAGTGTTAACTATCAAGTTGTCTCAGGCTTCAACCAGATAGCAACACCACCAAGGGCCCGTGCTGCCTATCCGTGTAGGCGCCGCCCTCACGCTCACCTCGCTGAAAAAGTGGTTGATTTTGTGGGTGCCGGGGGTAGGGGGGGGGGGGGG